TTCCTTACACGAATAACAAGCTCAGCTTGGTGTGGTACTTGTGGACGCTTTCGTTTCATTATTCCGGCTAATTTTGAAGGCCCAAGAAGCAAATGTGATTAAACGTAATTTGCCAACACCTTTTAATGGGCGTCGTAGGCGTGCTTTTGCTGTGTTTGGTTAAATTAATGGATGTTAAATGTAAGCCCCGTGGACGTCCGCGTCATCCTGCAGGCGTTAGGTGTTTGGTGCAGGGTGCGCATGCGTCGGAAATCGTGACGAATTCAAAACGTTTGGGCTTGAATGCTTTGCCCAAGCAATGCACTTCCTTCTGTTGTTGGCCTTAGCTCAATATTCACTCACTTCCTTTTTTTCGGACACACGCTTGCTACAATCGGTTATGGTACGGGCACTGAGGTCCACGTAGGACTATTTTTTTCCTTCAATCGTAAATTGTTTTCTGCAGGCAATTGGTAAATTTATTACTCTATAATATATGGGTCAGAAACTCAAAAATAATGCTTTCCTTGGCCATTTGAACGTTCTGCGTTGTTTTCAATTGCTTCTCATACCTGTGGATAGGTACGTTAGTTACCCCGTTCACAATGACACCAAACAGCTTCCTATCGCACTTGTCTCCATCCTCTGCGTGGTTATCTATTGATTTTTGCCCTTTTGAACACTTTGCTTAATTGGTTTCATTCCCGTACACAACGTTTGCTCTAGTTTATTTATCTACATTTCTGCAGATAAAATAATCACGATGCGTTTATTCACGCCATATCTTTATAGTTCCAGGTATAGCCATTTTGTAAGCCAGTTATCGTCAGCGAAGTATTTTCTCTTTTCCCTTGTATGCCATCTAGACTAATTGTATTTCCTTATCACTTGAATATTTGGTGTCTTTGTATTTGTAAAGGTCGTACGCCTAATCATGTATACAAGTCAACTCTAGGGCTCTGTCAACGCAATGTTGGAAGGCCATCACCCGATGGAGGTAGAAAGCTGTTTCGAGTGTACTTAGTGAGCTTTCGGTGCATTGTTTACAGTAAATGTACTTTTAGGTACATGGGGGAGGCCTTCTATATTACTGACCTCGAACAAATAGTCACCACGTGGTTTTTCATATTACCAACTTGCACAAATACGCTTTCAGTACCTTGGCAAGGCCGTTAAATCTTGATTTTTAAGCAAATCGACCATTTGAGAATAATGTGATGTTTTGAGTCTGCCAAATTAGGAGAGTATCGGTTACATTTCACACCAAAATGATCGGATATTCATTGCAATGCTCTCCGACAAGCTAATAATTGACAAAGTCCAGGCTTCGAACTTGGGATTAAAACCTGTCAAAAGAACCACATTTTAAGCTTAATATTGGAAGGAGACCACTCTCTTGACTTCCTTTGCTGGTCCTTGGACCTGCGACGGCAGAATTTCGAAGCTATTCCCGGACTAGTAACTAGGCTCCTGCCTGATTTCAGTCGTTTTCCAACGTGATGGCGTCTTCCGAATACCCAATTGGTAACCGAACAGACCAACTGTAATCAAAACATTGTTTGTATACTTGTTGTACTTACAACCTAGCATTTTTTCCTGAAACCCAGTCATAAGCCCCATTTAAGGTAATGGGTGTCTTTTAAGGCTTATTTGGACTTGTTTATTACAATTATGGAATAACAAATACCTCGGGAATTCGAGATGGTGGTAAATTTTACCATGTACTTTTACACTTCTGCCCACCATGCCTGTCAATGATGAGTCTACCGGCAGTTCAATGGTGCAGAAGTTCATTTGTCTTTGTTTGGAAGTAGTTATTATTTGTCGAACTGTTCTTTAGCCCACTGTCATATAATGATTGATGGGACAAGCTAAAAACAAAAATCTCTATGGGCTAAGTTCCTGGCTCTTTTAAACAGACCAGCTACTAAACTCGTGCTCAATGTTGCGGATATCCCGCTAAATGCATTTACTATGTGGCCACAAATCAAGCTGGGGATTAGAGCGTCTTCCTTCATTTGTTTGACTTAGACAAGAGGTATTGACACTCACCTTTGCTATGTTGACATCGGCAATTATCGTCGTAAGCCCTTAGATTGTATATTTCTTCATTGGCGTAGTGCGAATTAGGAAACGCGTTCCTTAGTCAAGCAAGTCACCATTATCTTCACATTCAAAATTGGCACAATTTCAAGAATCAATAAGGGTGTTCCTGGTTTTGTGCAGTGTAATTATCCACGCGGACTTCATTGTTAGTTAAAGTTTGGTGGGGCAGCGGCTAATTCCATGTCTTTTTTGCACTTTGGATTGGATTGATTTAATGTTAGAATTTAGAGTGGGCTTGATGTATTGTAATGCTCTGATGCACATTCTTCAGATTCTATAAGGCCCCTTTCTATTTCCATGGTTACTGGCTTTCTCTTTCTTGGGTCTACCAATCTAATCGCCTGATGACATCAAATTGCCTATGTAGCGACTAGACGCTAGCCCGTATCAGTACCATAGTCTGTCGCCTGTTCCATTTATTGGTCCTTACCGCTAATAAGTTGATTCGTTTCAGAATTTAGTCGTTTCCGGACTGATGTCTTGGTGACATTGGACGAACACTTAGGCTTGCTTTTAACCATCGACATCCGTGAAGCTTAAGGCTCAGGTCACACAGCACCCTGAATGAAAAATCTCATGTTTTTTTTGCGTATTTTTTCTTCATCGTTTTACATCTAACAGTCTTCTATTTTGACTCCTTCAAACCACCCATTTTATCATGTAAAGTGCGGTTTTTCCCTAAAATTAGCAGTTGATGCATCGGTTTTGTCATTTAAAACTTGGTTCTACCGTTCACTACTCAATACTTACTTCATGGCTATTTATTATATCAGAACGATTTCGTAAATGTGATTGGGTAGGACGTCAGAATCATGATGATAGACACTAATATCAGTGTTTATCCGCATGGTGTGCTCCCGCAGCACTATCTTATGCACTGAACCACTAATTCAATACGAGTATTATTCATTTTTGTTGTTTAAAATATGGTCTGTATGCCAGGGCCTGCGTGGAGATTAATTATGAAAGGCTTCTACATTTGGTATATTATCCTTACAAAAAAATTTTCCTTGAATTGTAACGTAATAGCATTAGTACCGTAACTCAGTAAATTTAGTGTTTCGTCATTAACCAAATTTCCTGGTAGACACGATTCATGTGGACATTGATACCCGTTTTGCATTTGTTAGCCATAATAAAATATTCCCTCAAAAGTTACCCTCATCCTGATAATCACTAATTGTGATTGTCCTTCCGTTGACTAGCTTTACGTAACGACGCTTCTATGTTGTTATCATTGAGACGCCAACCTTCTCTCACCATTGTTAGGAGTAATTGAGGCCACGACTGCGTTGTGTATTTTATGACGTTTGAAATCGTAGCACCGTGTCACTCTGAAGGCCAATTACGTTTTGCTAGGTTTGCTTAATGTACTTTTGTAAAGACGGGATAGTACACACCGGTTGAAGTATAACGAGCCTCGGCGAGATGGTAAATACACCTTTATGGAATTCTGTCATTGTGCATCATACCCCTTTAGTTCGGTATAATCTCTGAACCTATTTGTGGTTTTTCCATCAACTCGTATGGAGTCAGTGTGAGTTGTGGGCAGCCTTGGTCGATATGAAATTGCCACAGCCTCGACCGAGTTCGTAATTGTAGAATGAACAAAGCTGCGTAGTTCAAACAATTGGAGATTTCGCGTTTTGTACTGGGTATCATGTGTAAACACTCATTGTTGCTTAGTTGGGAATGACTTTTGACTTGACTGACCTCATTCATGGGTGTGAATTGAAGTAGAGATTGTCTGCAGCTGCTCCTCAGTCGTTCCCCCAGCCCCCACCAACCAATGATCGAACATGAGAACCGAAGCCGTATCTGAAAATTCAGTGGTAGTATTGCTGCTCGCTTCTCTGAAAGAAAAAAAAGTATTGACTTGAGGTCGACACTTGCTACTCATCTTAGTTGCCTGCATTGCTGTTAAAATCAGTGCAATAAGCAGTTAGAATCGAAAGTAGTCACTAGTAGTGATTGTTAACCTCAGGTGGCTCTTATCCTCGACTGAAAATAGACCCAGATGGTATTTCAACCCACCCAGAGTGCTAGTTGCTCTTTATGACGATGAAAACCATGTCGAGCTTTTTCCTCTTAAACCGATGTTGTATTCCGACTAAAACCACTATGAATACTAATTGCAGCGCCGAGTTTATCAACCGATCCCGCTTGCGTTGATTTTGAGAGCTTGGCTTTTCTCGTAGGTGTGCTTGATTTTTAGTTGTGAATATTCTTTCGTTGTTATGGCGAATTCTTACGCCTTAGCGTGGCCAGGAATCGCAGTACCATTTAGTCAAATAGCCTCACAGGGCACAATTTAGGCGTCACGTCGCTTTGTTTGTTTCAGAGGCTACCCGAGAAATATGAGTACGAGTCAGCTCGCCACTTCAACGAGGGCGTGGCGCATCACGTAACCCCTCTCATTGCACACTTGGGACGTGAGTAAAAGTACGTCCCCGAGTTTCATTACCTTTTTGCCTAATATTTAACCACAGCTACGTTTCGACCAAGTCCTTTGTTTTCTCCCAATGTCTGGCGTTTCGCAGGTTCTATCTTGTTAGCAGGTTAGCCACTACCTCTGCATTATGGAATGAAGCCTAAAGACGATAGGTGTCGACTCTTAGTGTCAGCATGATTTCTATTTACTGACCATTCTGGGGCTTGGTGAGCTCAAGATAGCATGGAGTGCCACCTCGTTGTCGAACCCGACTTGAAGGCCCTTAACTACGATTGCAATGCTGAGTTATTAGGACGTTCTTTTTACATCTATAATACAGACAGCAGCGATAAATGGGGTTCTGTTTGTACAAAAGCATGGAGGGGGGAAAATAAAATAGAGGGGGCTAAATAACACGCGCGTTGACTAATGTCGAGCGATGTGAGGGCGTGGGAAGGAATAATTGTGTAACATGTATAGGTGTTCAGACATTGTACACGACGGGCTGTATTATGCTGTTTTTCCCATCAGCGCCAGTGGTTCCATCCTCTTGCGTTGCCGAATTTTTGACAGACGCAGAAAGGATAGCCGCTGAAGTTTTTCGGATTGGTGTAACTTGGTGGGAGAGCCAGGGAATAGCGCTGTCGTCCTTGGGGGATGTCAGGAGGGCTGTTCCCCCACCATCTCCATTGAGCAGCGATTTCTTTGCCAACGGAAGCGGTGGACTGGCGACTGGGCCACATACCTTTATCCCTTTCTAGAACAGAACGGAAACGGTTAATGTCCTAGATAAAACAACAATTAAGAGAATGTCGTCCTGTTCTGTACTTGGTAGACGAGTCGACAACCACGACCACTCACCAAGATCAAAGACGAGCGCATGTTCTGTAACTCGTATTTTTAATCAACAAGGCTAATTTCCCTCTAAGCCGTACCCAAGCCTATAGTTCAAGCTATTGGTTACGCTTTTCACTCTTAAGACATTAATGGCAGCGCAGATTTCAACGGTCAGCAGCAGCAGCAATAAAGTAACGCGTTAGAAACAATCCAACTGGATATGTAGGCAAAAACGTAACCATAACGCTAGCAAATTGTCAAACTGAATCTGTAACATATCATACACTCAAAAATTTTTACAGACCGAAACCGCATACACTTGGCGGCCATTATCGCTTTTAGCAAAACACGCACAACCTCACGCAACAGAGATGCTCGAACAAAGCGGTTTCTCGTTATTCCAACTTTTTTTGTCCAGACGTCGTAGTTTCACTCCATAATTGACACCTGCTCCTAAAGCCAACTATGAAATTAATGTCAGGGACGCTCTCATGTTGTAATTTAAAGAACGGCATAGACAAATGTTATGCTTTTTCCTAATCTTTTTGTCGTTTGACTTTTTTAAATGTAGTCTTTTTCAGATAACCTGTTAATTGAGAAGTGTACTCCAGAATCTCGTAAAATGCGTTTTTGAAAAAGTAGTGAATCAAATATTTTGCAGATACTACTTAACTTGCTTTTAAAAACGTTTTCCATTGACTAATAAAATCAGTAATTAGGGAGTGTACAAGAGAAAATGGAAAGTTTACGATGCGTGATGAGTGACTCGTGAAAAACACGGGTAGAGAATATCTTACCTTCAGAAGATATTTGTAGTTAACCGTAATGAGCACACCGCTGAGACACAAACGGGACGTTATCTGCCATTAGTCTAAGTCACAACTCCCTTCCAGCCATCAGTTAGTTCGGGATATAGTTATCAGGAAGCTGAAGTATCCATTGGGCACTTTAAGTGACTGCTTTATTTTAGGCAGACGCGGTCAAATTGTCCCATTTTTTCTGCAGGGTCTCATGGACCTACGACAAAACGGGTTTCTCGCCAGGCATCCCGGCCATCCTTCCGACATCTGCGCCGGTGCGACCACATCTAGCCTGCTTGTGTATGCGTTGCTTTGCACACCTATACGCACACACGAGTAAAACTCGCAAATCTGATCTTGCCTTCTAATTAAGCTCTAATCAAATATCACTATACGTGTTTTAGTACATAACACGCGCTTTAAGGAATGCACGCAATCGATCTGCGCTCGCCTAAGATCGCACACCGCTTCGCATTGTCTCTAAAAGCACTTTTACAGCACTATTTATTCTACACATGCTTCTAGCACAACCTACTTCTCTTGTGCACCAATGACTTGCGCGTGCACTATCAGCCTGCCCATTGTGGTTGGACCGCGCACGCGCGAATTATGCCATTGACGCGTTAAGTAGTATAAACAAGTGTGGAAGGCGTGGTAGCTCGATGATGGAATACACGAAACCGATGGAGCAACGATTTGTCAACATTCACACGCAAACGTATTTCTGATGTACCTTTCCTGTCTTTCTTACTGGCTGTCGTGCACGAGTTGCCTGTGCCGAGTCCGATTTCCTAACTCACTTGTCTGACGGATGCAACACGTGCACATGGCTCGCTCTGCCCAACTGGCATCGTCGGAACTCACGGCACTTCAGTTAAATAAGCCTTCAATCACAGGCATTCGAAATAAATTGCGTAGCACCGGGATACTTTTCTAAACGAGTGCCAGCAACCGTTGTGGTAATGTGGAGCATGCGGTTTCAGTGACCAACATAACCTGCCGAATCAAGAGCCGTATGGGAGTTACGGCGTTGCATCCCATAATTTTAGAACTCCATTGCCACAGTGTACAAACAAACCATGGAACTTTTTGCTTAAGCCACGACGCCAAAGAGCCGCACGAATCAAACGGGACCGAATTATACTGCTTTTCAGGGCTGGCACGTTACAGCGGAAACCAGGCATAATGTAGTACACCGACTTATTAAAGATGACGACTGACATCAACGACGGAAAAGTGATAACGAAACTACCTTTTGGTATGTATAGATGGCTGAATTTTCGGACACGCGAAACTGGAGTAAAGAGTACCTATATATCAGGAGACAGTGGTCAACGTTTGTGGGAAACCCTATTTTCATAGGGCTGATTGCGGTGGAAGCTGGGACGAACAACTTGGATTGCGACGCACTTACGCAATTAGAATTATGCTACATCACATCCAGCATGCTTCCGACGGTTTTTGCGTTTCAAACTTTGTCCTCTCTAAAGTGCTTATTAGGCGAAGTGCCTAAGCTTTTAACCGAACACACCACAAACTACTGGGCTTCGTGTGTAGCTGGAAAGTTGTTTAGTGGTTTCCCCTTTTGCCGTAGAGACGCTCGGCATCGTGGAGTACCACGGAGGACTGTCCCCTTCAATGCACGGGCAACCAAAACACATATATAGGAGCAGCAAACACGCACGCTTACTGGAAAGATGCTCACCGTGGCAGCCAGAATTGCAGCGGCAGAGCCGCCAAGTGGTGCTACGCGACCTCTGGCAATGGTGACGGCGTTGCCACCGCCATCGCGGGGGAACGTCGCCTCCACGCCCCAGTGGTGATGGTTCTTGTTTTTGCTGAGCACTACCGGTTTCGCTGGGACCGTGTTGGGAGCGGACTTCACTACTGAGAATCCAGTCGCCGGCGTCAGACGCGGACTAGAAGAGGATCTAACCGAAGTTCTATTTACAACATTGTGATGGGTGGGCAGGTGTGGATAAATGGTGCTTCCTGAGCTACCAAGCCAGCCGCTGCTCAAGCGGCGACCGCATGTGAGTTTGGAAAGGCTAAGAGTCAATTGATGCCTTGACTGATTTCGTAGGGAGAGCTGAAGGCGCTTGAAAAGAACGTCTTCATGAGCGTAAGAAAGACTTGGGCAGGGAGCAGCGCTGATCCGCTTATTTGGCATCGATTCAGCGGTAGTTCCTTCGCAGGGGACAAATTGATCGACGCCAGTGAACCTCCGGAGTCTCAGTTCTTGAACCTCTGGAGGAGGAGATCGAGAATTGAGTTGGTTGAAATAACTATTCAAGTCATCCGAGGGAGCTGGTAAACGGTCATAAAGAATGCGACCGCCTCTACCGAGCCGACGACGTAGGTAACCCGTGTAAGAATGTTGAGAATGGTGGGAAACGCGCTTAATCCGAGATAAGCAGAACGTAGCCTCATTGTCGATTTCCGGGATGGATCGCAAGTCCCTAGGTGTGAGGTTAGGTACATCAGAAATATGTGTCGTGGAAAGTAAAAAGAGTTATGAAGTTTGTAAACTCACAAAGGTCGTTGATATTTACAGCCCGGTAACCGAACGAAAGCGAAGGGGTCACTTAGTGTCTGATTAATTTCTGTGTCGGACGTATCTGACAGAACACCAAATGCATTTTCGGGGGAATGCCGAGAAAGCTTCCGTTTTCGCGAAGAAATGTGCTAAAATGCACATAGGTAAGAAAAAAATGGGAGACTTTCGCACCTTCCGGGCGTTGAGGCTAAGTAGACGCTCAAAGGATTTGGGCGACTTTTGGGCTGCAACGTCTGCTTCTGACAACTGCGTTGCTTCCCAGTCACCGAGCTTGTAGCGAGACTGGAAAATCTTACGCTCGATTTCCAGAACAGCCTCCTTAGTCGATTCTCTTTTCACCAATCGTGACACGATTTCACTGAAAGTAGTTTAGAAAGTCGTACCACCTTACCCTAAGGAGACCATCTGTTCCCGGAGCAAAAGCATTTTTTCGTAGGAATACTCATCATTTTTTCGGTTCTTGCGAGTTTGCATGCGCTCAGTGCGACGTCGAAATGCGACATATGGATCATTATTGCTCCCGCCATCCCGCTTTTCTTGTCGAACCGAAAGTAGCAACGGTTGTCTGCACTGCACTCGTTTATTTAACCAGTAGTCGTAGACAGCAATAACGAGGGAGGGGTCGTCATTAAGGAGTAGCCGTGCCTCTTCGAGATTCATAACACGTTGGCCACAACCACGCTCGAGTCGATCAATCATCTTTTCAAACTTTTCTGGAGATAAATTGAGATCACTTCTACGAAGCCAGTCTTCGTCATCCGAATCCATATCGTACTCAACAGGTTCATCATCCTCTAATGCAATTGCTGGAAAACTTGCCAGAGGTTGAAATCGGTACTTACTTCGTATATGGATCAAATTCTTGGGAAGCGAGAAGTTGGCAGAGTATACTTTTTCATAAGCCTCAGACTTATCGATAATTTCTGGGACAGGAATACTAACATCGGTGTTTTTTTGAAGTTGCAAAGCCTGTAGAACTTCAAGAAAGTGATGTTCCTAAAATCATATAAGGCAATGAGAATACATGGCGGTGATCAGGTATTGCAGACTGCGAAAGCACGCAGACCGATGTTCGTAACGAACAGAACACCGCGGCAGACCAGGAGCCGAGATGAAGAGGAAACCCATGAATTCGCTAGCGGAGAGTCAGCGCTGCAACGAACACACTCAACCCCCTACCTACGTGCCATATCCCTTACTAACGATGAGAATACACGCACAGCACTCAATGTTAAACCCAACCTACAATACACTCAAGAACACAACTATCCTCAAAAGTCTGAAGAACAACTTATTGATTCGCAACATTAGGCCAAAGAGAACCACCCGCCTGACAATGACACTGCTTATGCAAAAAGGACCAGTCTTGAAAATAAAATTGCATTGTTTCTTTAAAAAAATTATGTGGACGTCAAATAAGTTTACGTTTTCTTCTTCACGTTCCATGCCACTAGGGACGGTCGGAGTGCCACGATTGACGAAAGCGCCCTCGCCCAGTTCGCAAAAGAGATCTGAATCATATCTGACGATTGAAAGAGATCTGTTGAAGTCGATTTGCCTCGTGCGAAATGAAACTTTGCTCATCCTAAAAGAGTGACACGTCAACGTGGAAGAAATTTCAGCGACAGCTGAGCCTTTCCTTAAGAAAAGTACTCGGCTCAAAGACCGCAAATTTTTAAATATTTTTTTTATTTGCAAATATTTACAAAACTTTATCATATTTACAGTGTATTTAGGGAGAAATCCGTCGATTATCGCCGTATCCAATATGGCGGCGAGGAAATTTCATAAAAGGCCGGGCGCGAATTAAAAGCAATTTAAACAAATATCTTCTGACAGCAGTAAATAGCTTACTAAACTGCAAATACATAATATAAAAAAAACTATGTTTAAAACGCCTAGTATCTAAATTTTTTTAAAAAAATACAAGGAACTTCATGGGATGTTTAATGACATGTACATTCCTACAAAAATTAATTTTGCAACTCATTGCAACCAGTGAAGAAAGTCCAGATATTAATTTTAAAGACAAATGGCAATTAATAATTGCGGTTATAAATAAAAATTTATGATTGCTGTCTGTAGCCTCGTTATATACACTAGTAAAGCACTAAAGATCTGCTTCAAAATTAAGCTCTGGTAGTTGATCATTCACTCATACTTACCAAAGTTGTTCTCTACATTTTTGTTCCCACCGCAACTAAACTCAGGTAATGGCTTTGCATGATAATCAAATAACAAACACACAAGCTTTATTTTTCAAAGTGTCTAAAAATTTTTTTTAAATGGCAGTTTAAACGTTTTTTGTTTAATTTTTGTTGTATCGTAATCAATGTTTTAGTCGTAGAGGCAGCAGGTAAGTCCTCGTACTATATAAAATTAAAAAAACAGTAAAATATTTGCGCTTTTTATTTCAAACTTGTATAAGCATATTGTCAATTGAATTTTTTTAAACTCAGTATGCGAAGTTTTTTCACCACTACGATCAATTCAGTCGTTGTTTTTTTTTAAAAAAAAATAGCTTCTAAATTAATTTGTAACTGGTCTTAAGGGCTGTATTTCTGTCGAGGAGGCCGCTTAAGAGGGGAAGAGTCTCTTCAAAGATTAATATATTTAGTAAACTGGGTGTAATGATTTTGATTATTGGCCTGGAAGTAACAACACTCGAAATCAGAGATAGCTATCTGTCTTTCCTTCCTAAGTACTGACAAGTTACTTAAATGCTTTAGTGTGTGGAAGTACAAGAATCACTAGAGGATATATGCTACGCATTTCTACATGCTTAATTGAACAAGGTTGAATTTGGATAATGTTAAAATGTTTTTGCCATATTTTTGGATTCCAGGTTGCAGATTCTTCGCTTCGGAAGTCTTGACTCAGGGGTATCAAACACCTACGGTTGTGCATGGCTTCAAAGGAGCTTGAGCATCAAGATCTGAGGTGCCCGATATTGATGTGAAAGTTTGTATAATTTTTACCAATTTACCTTACTGAAATTTCATACATGTGGCTTTTGGGTTAGTTCCTTTTACAGCATATAACATGCGATGGAGCATGGGTGAAAATTAATTAATTTATATTGAAGGAGAGGTTTGAAATTGAAAGGAGATGACGCGGGAGCATGCGAGATATCAAAGTATTTAGAAAAATCGCTCGAGGTAAGCTGTTTTAATTTATCCCATCGCCAAAGCTATATGTATTTCTGCAGGAAAACCCGTTATTGATTACAATCAAAGATACTTATTTACTAGATGGAATTTTACATTCTTTATAATATATTAAGAAATTGGTTTTTGTTTGAAAAAAATACTATTATCATGTTGCATTAATCTAATGCTGTGTGTTTTATGTCTTATTTTTGTGTCTTTTGATTTAACTTATGATACTCTGCATACGAGTTTATTGTTTATTATTTACTAATTAATAGTGCTGCTCGCTACATGGACTTCTGTCCCAAATTTTTTTTTAGTTTTTTAAAAAAACATAATGGAAACACAGTTAAAAAATTACATTATGTTACATTTGCAATCATGGTTTTAACGAATCATAATCTCCAATTATTGACTTTGACCGGGCTGATTTGCGTCGTTCAAATTACATATCCTTGAAATAATGTCTGCAAGAATTTCCCCATATGTTTTTCCAGCAGTTTAAATGTTTTATTGAGCATTACATCAAAGGTAGCCTATTTATATTTTGGAAAGCATGTCCTCGACAAAATCCTCTAGTTCAGCCAAAATATTTATTAATATTTCTTCCTGATATTTTGTAATGGAGGAGAAGTATAGTGTTGGACATGATTCTTCAACTTTCCTAATGAATTCTACATCTTTGGATTTTGATGAGACCAATAGCAGTTATTTACTAAGTGCTGAGTTTTTTGCCGTCCAATACCAGCGTGACCTTATTGGACATTATTTTATGGGAATTGCAACTCTCACAATATCATGCATTGGTCTTGTGGGGAACATGTTATCAATTGGCGTTCTTACTTCAAAATACATGAGGGGAACAACAACGAACTTATATCTTATCGCTCTTGCCGTCTCTGATTCATTAATGCTCCTTTTCGCAATATTGGTTGCAATTCGCGACGCCAGAAGACCTCAGTACGGTGTCACAGCATGGGAATTATGGGACGATGCATCATTTATACCACGTCTATATCCGAACTGTCATGCATTCGCATTGCTTTTTCAAGTAAGCAGTATATACCCTTATTTATTTTTATTCGTGATATTTTGCTTCTCGCCAATACACGGTTCAGCTCTTCCCTAGGCTTTCATTCCACGAATTTGTATTCCATAGCCAGAAATATCTATCTTATCTGTAGTTAGATAATGTTACATTTTCTAGCTTATAGTAAGTTTTCATTATTAAACATCGCAAATCTTAAATATGTTAAGAGATTGAACTATTCTTAAAAATATTGAGAAGGTCTTTATTAGACTTCCATTTGTAATCTTTGATTTTTTAAATGGCAATCTTCATATTGCCCTCGGCACTTTTACGTTTTATAAATGCTGTAGCATTATGTTTGTCTTTCCTTTTGTAAATATATTAAAAAATTGCAGTTTTGATTAAATCAGTTTTGACTACATACATTTTTAAGGCGCAAGATCCCATAATTTCACGAAACTTTTGCGAATCAGTGGAGTCTTTTTACCATGCGGTTTATTAATCCAAGTTTGTGTTCTTGCAATGATGTTTATCAAAAAGAACATGCAAATTATTCACTCATCTTCATTGGTAGTGACTTTATTTTGAAGATTTTAGCGTCTTAGTCTTTTTGGTTCCCAACTAACATCTCTCGTAAATAAATAGCTGCGTAATATCTCTGTCATTTTTAATTATTATATCAAATCATGTACTTTTAAAAAGATGTTCCCTCAGAGTGCATGTTCAGTTACATAGTCAATTTGTCATCTAAGTACGTTACTTTGAAGTGAAGTAAATGTCTTTAATGACCGCTGTTATTGTATGCAATTAATTTGCTATTAGCCTTAATCAAAGATGCGTCAAAGATATGTCAATACAGCATTCTGCGAATGCAAGGTACTAACAACGGTTGCCCAAAAAATACTTAGTCTGGTTTCGGTTTCTGTTTGATTATACTTAAGAAACAGTTGGTTTTGGTCCGGTTGTCATATTTCGGTTTTTAACGATTTCGGTTGTTTAGCCCTCGGCGTGCCATTGAAGACTGCATCTTCATTTTGGTACGTTATTTGGGTGGAAATGTTTTCGTGTTGTTTCGATGGAATTTACATTTTGTAGACTTCTGAAAGATTTCTTATTGATACAACCATAAGATGACAAGGTTAATTTGCATCCCCTTAAATAGCCGTGTAGAATTTCTTGAAACATAGCATACTTTTCATTCAATAAAGCGAGAAAACGTGATCAGAAGTAGTTTATATCTCAAATCCTAACATTTTCATTAATAAATGAACTAGTTACTTGTCTCTAGGTCTTGCCTTGCATTATAATAAAACTGACCTTTAGAAACTTCCTTTATACGATCACTTTTTTGTAATTTACGTCTTAAGGCTTTTCCTTAGAATCTTTTGTTATAAGAATCTCATGAAAATTTAGTCATTTCTCTTTCAAATGAAGTGTAATTTATGCATCTTTATGTGTATTATTCTTCGATGTCCCGCTTTTCTTTAAGCCAAATAAAATAGTTTTTTTCTTAATTACACACAAATGTATTTTTATGTCCTGATGATCCCCTGTTTGGTCACCTGGCTATCATGCAATGACTTACGGAAGTCGTAGTGACGTCTAATTAGGAAGTGCAATAAAATATCAACTTCATAGACAAATTCATTCGTCTTCAAGAAATGATTAAGGATTTAAGTATCGAGTGACTGCGTTTATGACGTAACGAAACTAGACCGAAAATAATGGTGTTAAACAGACAAGTGGTTGTTTAATCACTCCTCATTGTTGCTTTTTATCCTGAGGTCTGAATTAATCGGTGGTATCCAGAAAACCCAAAATCTCCCACTCGCTTGCACATATCTACTTATAATCAAGTGAATCGTCTTAAAACGCACCGACATTGAGATGATGGCTTTGTTTTTCGTGCTGTGAAAACTGATTACATTAGCTCCACGCATACCCAACTGTCGAAGCAGTCATAAAAACCCTACAATAGTGATTCACTACACTTAGGAGCCACCTGAACCACAAAATCTGCGTACTTTTATAATAAACCCCTCTGGATATTGAAAATTAAAAAAAACTTGTTTTATTGGACTATTCAAAATGTAGGCTGTTTCACCGCTCCTATAATTAGTGTCATTGTTAACTGACGTAAATTCCCTCCATGTATCAAGTGACTGAGGCTCAAACAAGATATCAGTTGCCGAAACGACTTAAGGGCATTGTTATTTTGACTTGTTTTAAATTCTCTTCCTTCGTAATTCTTCCCGAAGCTAAAATCTCTGGATCCGTCCTTGTTGTGTTGGCCTTAAAAATGCGAAAAAAATCGCATTGTCGTTTTGGTTGATTTTTTCTCGTGGTCACTCGGCACATCATCGGTTACAATCAACGACTTTTTTCACTGCGGCTGCCTATGTTTGTGGTGCTGCGCTGAGAAATCGTTTGGAAAATTCAGAAAGTCGGTTCTTTCCTATGCTTAATCAAATCTTACCAGTCTGCGAACATTTAATCGAGAAAAGTGTTGCCAGAGTTCAAAGTCCGAACTATGTCAACAACAATTTAAGTAGCCCATCGTCAGGCATTGTTTAGGTTTTGCAGATTTAACTTCATTGCTTCTCGTGTGAGCAATTGCTTATGCCAAATTATAAATAGTCTGTATGTATATGAAATTTCGAACAGTTGCCTCTTGAAGCTTGGCTATTTCGACATCAAGTTAATTTTTTCCATGCAATCTGCTATTTTTTTTAAATTTTAGTTAACTTCTAACCATTCACTAATATAATTTTTAGCAAAAATCCTTGCATAGATTTCGACCCACGTAGCACTTCGATGGGCGTGGGTAAGTAGACCCCATGGCAAAGATATTGAGTACTGCCACAGATGCTAACTCGTGACCTAACCAACCGACACTTTTGTAATGACCGAAAAGTCAAAGTTTCTTAGCAAACAAAACAGAGCTACCAGAAGACCGACAATTTCAGCCTTCCATTCTCAACTTAAGTTTGAACCGATTATGGACTAAAATTGATTAGGAACTTGAAAGCTTCGTGCTAGGAAAGCAGTTTACCAAGAACTTGGAGTATTTTTAATTAAGGAGTACTAGTTTTTGCTAGTCGTTGTGTCACAAAAATTATGATAATCCCATATTATCAATTTCGGACAAGCAAGCAATACATTAATTGAAGATATCAGTAGTTCTTGACGTCGCGTATGGGTTGTAGGGGTAGCGCAAGTAACATGCTTACTGATGGAGTTATTTACCTTGCATTTGCCCAAACCAAAATCTGCACGTAAATTTGCTCTACGGAGAAGGTGTGGAGTAACCTTTCTCAGGTTCTGCCTTTTCTATCTTTTTTCATCGAAGGCACGTGCTCAGGGTTAACTGAAACAGAAAAAACGAAGCAGCAAGCCCTGGCACGGTTAATTCAAAATCGTACGTTGGTGCTTTGAGTACTCTTGTCTCCGAACTTGTGACCATCGTTGTCATTCAGAACTGGTGGGACGTACATTGATTCTGCCCCCAGTAGAAAAACAATTCCTACCTACTTACACATACTGCGTCGGCGTCTGCTCCAGTGACAGCACAATCCCAGTGCGGCAATCAGGCTTCAGCTTTTATTTATTAAGGGCAAGAAAACTGCCAGAATTTAAAGGAATTACGGTGTGACTCAAGCCAAATAAATGGTTGAATGTGTTAGTGCTCAAACACGCAATAAAGGCCACAAACTACTGTCCTAGGCCGCAGCATCGTCTGGGCGAATGATTGGTTTCTTCAGGATTATAAAGGGGCTCTGCATGTGACCCTTCTCTAGCACAATTGATTGTTCTGTGCTTGCAGCAAAAATTTGTGGATAATGTATTTGATTCTGTTTGTTTAACATACTACATAGAAAAAATATTTGATGGCGGGAATCGGCGTGTGTGTGTGAGTTGCGAAATTCAACAAGTTTGTTTTCTGTTAAGACGATTCGCATTCCCTAGTAAAAATATTATGGTTATTTGTATAGAAATACCAGAATAAATATGTACAATATACCTCACAAGTTACGCTAGCTAAAAAACCCACTGATGATGCGTGCAGAATGTGGTTATCGCGGGCACAGGGGCTGATAAGTGAGACGGATTTACGAGTATCGGTTGAATTGACTATTGCTTAGGATTCAAACTTCTTCGGACTTGGACAGTAGACTGATGGAGCTTGTGTTTTCGGTTACACTTTTGAGTAGTTTCACGGGAGTTGACTGAAACCATTTGAAAATGCACAGGAAGACGTGAGGTGGCTTTGTCGCCCTAATATTTGCATGAAGCTGCAATCTTTCCTGTCCATCCGTGACGTAATTTAATAATTTGACAAATTTATCCATTTGGTTATGCATTATTTCTATTAACGTTGCTCACTCATTGTAGCCATTTTTAGAAGATTAACTGGTTAAATTACAGAGTATCTCCGGTCCTCCGATAGGAATGGATTTAACGTGAAGCACGAGATAAGTTGACATGGGTAAGAATGCAGTTAATTGTGACAAACGCGAACAATACCCAGTGTGGCCTTGCTAACATACTATGAACCCCTTACCCATATGTCGATAGGAATGCCGGTGCCAATGACAAAATACAAATTAACCACGCCTTCTTTCATAACTATGGAAACATCACGATGGAAACTGAGCTATTAACTTTAATAAATCTAAATAAGCTTGAGTCTTGGTTCTGTTCTCTGGGACGACAAATCAAAATCACTGTTTTTGCTTGTTTAGACAGAAGCGTTTAAACAGAAATTCTTTAACTTACTAACCGCTTTGGTCCTTTTTTTTTAATTTTTTGGAAAATTCACTCTCGCTTTGCGTAATCTTTAATGTAGAGGTGCTGTTAGCTTATTCCCAGCTGTTACCGTAAGTTACATTTCATCGTCAGGGTTATTTTTCGGCTTGAAAACGTTTTTTCCGGAATGCTGGTGAGATATACAAATGAACATCTAAGTTATATATTAAGTGGCCAATATGTGTATCTTTAGCAACCGAAATCTATCAGGCTTTAAGCCTGTTCAAAAGTATCCGTGAATCGGTGAACATTCACCTTAGAAGTCGTTATTAAGTGTGAAAAAGCCGTAAGGC